GATATAACCCATTTTAATAAAAATATTCTTTGACATCTTTTAAGAATGCAAGGATTTTAATTAAATTGTAGTTTTATTTTGTAAAAGTAACTAGAAAATACTTTTTTAGGGTTATCATTGTTTTTTGGAAACTAACTTTTCAAAATGTTTTAAAGTTGCAAAGTAATTGATTTTATATTTTAAAAGTTTAACCAACTCATGTTTTCTGTATAGTTACCTGAGATAACAGATTTAATGTCTCAGGTTAAATAGGTCACGCTCTTTCAAATTTTACACTTTTGGCACAATTTTTAAATTTTATTACAAATTGGCGCAAATTGAGGTTTTTTTTTTACAAATTTCATTTTCTACAGCTTTTTTGTAATAGCTTATAAGTTTTTTTTCTTATATATATATATATATATAATATATATATATATATATATATATATATATATATATATATATATATATATATATATATATATATTACAATATTTTCTTAACTTTGTTTCCAACTTTTGCATTATACCATATACAGTAGTAAACCGAATTTTCTCCTTGATTGTGCAGCACTTGTCTTTGATGAAATAACAAATAGAATTTTGTAAAAAAATATATATATTTTTAAAAGTTGGTTTGCTAATGTATGAGGCAATGCAAAAGTGGGAAAAAAGTTGATTTGCTAATGTATATGAGGCAATGCAACTTGGAAAAAGAGGTAAGAAGTATTGTAAAATATATTCTTTTAAGAAGTTGGGAAAAAAGTTAAGTAAAAAACCTCATAAACCATTAAAAAAATAAATTTGTAAAAAAGATTCTGTGTTGAATTCGTAACAAAGTTTTAAAATCTGACCAAAGTTGTAATAAAATTTAAAATCTAGGCCAAAAGTGTAAAACTGAAAAGAGGGGTGTTCTATTTAACCCGGGTTAGAAGGTAACCATACAGACAACATGAGTTGGTTACCCTTTTAAAACATAAAATCGGTTACTTGGCAACTTTTAGACATTTTGAAAAGTTAGCTTCCAAAAAACAATGATAGGATAGTGTTATGTTATTTGCGTTCTCTAATGAGCTTTTATGATATTTCTTCTTTTAGTTTTTTTACATAAAAATTTTATACTTATAATTTAATACTGCATAGGATCGTGTTGAAACCATACCTTGTATTGACATACAATATAAAAGTTTCATATGAAAATTCATTTCATTTCATTCCATTCCATCCAACCAAACAGACTTGGTGTTTTTATTGCTTTTAGTTAGTGTTACTTTCTGTATGCCATGATTATCATATTTCTTTTTGTTCCTGTATTTCATCTTTGTTTCAGCTTGTTTTGGAGGGAGTGCGTGCAAGACAGCTAAACGATTCTCTTCTCCTGGATAAAAAAACCACAGAAAGGAAAATCCAACAGGGCAACACATTGATTAATTTCTGTGAAATAAAAGCAGAAAGAATCGAAGATCAGGTACACACTACTTCCAAACAACCCCTGTTTCCCTTCTCACCTAACGCACAGAAAGAACAACACCACTGATACAATTTTCGCGTTTTCTGTAACAGACAAAATCATGTTCAGATCATGTCGAGAAAGTGTCTGAAACACGGGTTCAAAAAACAGGCGCCTTGGAAACCACCCAAAGGAGACTGAGCGATGTTAAAAAAACATCCCAGCAGTTAACAGAGTCCTTGGATGAATCACAGATCAAGGTCGACACAAGTCGAGTCCATCTCATGGATTTGCAGATCCACCTCGAAAAAGAAAGGTAAAATGGAATGGAATCGCTCATTCCATTCCCTTGCTGATTCCATTCCCACGAGTGGCAAAGACTTGATTGTTGTGTTGTTTTAACTTTTACGTAGGTTTGAGAAAAAGAGAGTTGAAGAGGAGTTGGAATGCGCGAGAAGAAAGCATACACGTCTAAGATCACAATTAGACGGGTCTTCCGTTGTTGAAAAGCTTCAACAAGAGCTCAAAGAATACAAGGAGATACTCAAATGCAGCGTTTGCCATGACAGGCCAAAAGAGGTACATTAAAAAGACCAAAATACCCTTTTGATTATATCAAAAAAAAAAAAAAAAAAGAGAAAAAGTTAATGGTCCGGTTTTTATTTTTATTCGCAGGTGGTGATTACAAAATGTTATCATCTCTTTTGCAACACGTGCGTTCAGAAAATCATTGAAACACGGCATCGCAAGTGTCCTCTATGCACTGCAAGTTTTGGTCCAAATGATGTCAAACCTGTTTACATCTGATCTTATCTGAATCCAAACGTTGGGATTCCTATGACCATGTATTATAATAATATCAAAAAAAAAAAAAAGGAACTTTTTTTCCCCACCCCTCCCCACAAATCGATATGGGATTTGTTTGTTGCTATTGGTTTTTTGGATTTTCTTCATTTTGCATAGGTTGTTTTTAGATTTTAGTGTAGTAGTTTGTCAAAGTTTGTTGCTGGTTTGATTTTCATATCTTGTTTTTAGCAACACTTCTAAGATATTATCATTTACTACTCATTTCATGAATCAAAAAGTTTTGTTTCAAGTTAACTCTCTACATGTACATCTCTCTCCATTCAGTCATTCACTTGTCAAAACAGTCCACAGTTAAAAGTTGCATTCACTTGTCAAAACGTCATTGTAAATTGTGAACACTTAAACTATTATCAACCATGATCCTTGAGTATGAAATTTGATTATCTTGAACCATTTCGTTAAAGAATCTGAATTTTGTTGGGTTGTAGAGTCTGATTGCTGCTTTTTAAAAAACTACATATGTCGGTACTTTTTAGAGAAAGTTTTTGATATGATATGCCTTTTATTTAGTCAAATTCAAAGCAGTCAAACATTGCTTTGTAATATATAACGATTTTATTTTTGTAAGTTTGTTTAAAGGTTGTGCTTTTAATTGTTTTTAAATCGGCAACCCAAGTTACTAGAATAGTTTAAAATAGATACGAAAATTGCAAGAAAAATATATTTGGGGACCGAACTTGAAATTTTTGAAAAATGTAATTTTACTGTATATATTAGAAAGGATGGATATCTTTAAAAGAAAGAGAAAGAAAGCCATGCTTTTTATAGGATGATTTATTAAAACATAGGAGTCACTTTGGGGTATATTATATATTCTAAAATTTGTATTCCTATTTTAGTTAGGTGTTCCGATTCCTTGTTGAATCAAAAGTCTATCACACAGGCCATTAAACGTGTTGTTCCGATGTACTTTGGCTAAAGGCTAAATGACAAAACGCTTTTATTGTGCAACTTGTATTTTCATGTGATGTAGATGCTACTCCTACTTATGAAAATAATTTATTACGTAGGGAAATTGTATATCCTAATTTTAAAACAAAGGTTAATGGTATAAAAAATCTTATATTTTGTGTTTTTCTTGATTAAACCGTAACTTTTTTTTTTTTTTTGAAAAAACATTGTATTTTTCTACTTTTTTTTCCCCGATTTTGCCATTTTAGTAGTTTTCCTCCAAAGAAACTAGTAAATTGTGAAGGGTTTTTTTTTTTTTTTTTTTTTTTTTTTTTTTTTTTTTTTTCCAAAAAAAATATAAAATATCGAGGGGTTTTCAGAAAAATTGAAAAGGTTGAATGTTTTTTTGGAAAAAAAAATAAAAAGTTAGGGATTTTTCAGACAAAATAAAAGCTGCAACCTATTTTTCAAGAAAAATAAAGTTTAGGTTCAAAACAACGGATTATAGTCATTAGGCTTATGAAAGCGATTTTAGTCATTACGGCTTATGATAGCGATTTTAGTTTATAGTTAAAGTCTTTCTTTGTCATGTTTTTTTTACAAATAGTTAAGCAGGTATTGTATTTCTAATGTATGTTTGTAATTAAAATTTTTAACGATCACAACTATGTTTACTTCCCAAAGTAAACGTAGGTCATCAAATGTTCGCACATATTTAACAATTTTAAATAAGTGGAATCGCATGAAGTAAAGCACAATATTCTACAAATTTTCAAGAAGAAAAATAATTCCAACATAAACGGATAGCAAAAGCCAAAAAGACTTGAACTCTTTTGTCATATTTGTAACACAAATACAATTAAGAGAGAATATCATTAAACACTTTCGTTTTCTCATGATTTAAAAATAAAAGTTTATTTTCAAAAGATGGTTTAATCATTTAAAATTAAATATTGAAAAGGAAAATGTACCAAAAAAACATTATAGTTTATGTAGAAACAAAGAGCGGTAAAACATCTTTACTTTTGAGAAAGATGGATTGGACAATACACATTTGGAACATATGAGATATATATGTGAGGTCTAAGTCGATAAGAATAGCATTTTCCATTTGTATCAATTGGGTGATATTCCTTTTATTATTTCATGACAAACTATTTCTTATATTCATTCATGAGATGCATGCACCTTTCAACCGTTGTATCAAGGTTGCCTAATCAAGGGTATGTAATATTATAAGAATCTTTAAAATATCCGTTACAATGATAATTTTACATAGGGCATTTGCATAAAAGAATTATAAACCCACCTAATTTTGAAAAAAATCCCGTTGCAATCACCGTGCCTCTTTACTTATGGTTTAGTTGTTAAAAGGGACATGACTTCTCATTAATATATGATATGTATTTGATAAATTGAAATCTAACTTAAGAAAATGAATTCTCATTTACCTACATGATATGATATGTGTATAATTTACTAAAACGCACATATCACAAGAACCAATTTCAGAAACCAAAATACTATTTCATAAAGTGAATATGATACCATGTAAGTGTACTGTGTACACCAAGACATGTTAGTTTTAAAACATGCTAGGTCCTACAATGGTCTTAATTAGAATATCTTTCGAAATGGTTGGCTTTAATTGACCGAATAAAATATAGTGCCACGTAAATCCGCAAAAATAGTCATAACATAGTGGCATATATATATATATATATATATATATATATATATATATATATATATATATATATATATATATAATGATTCAAATGAGAACAAAAAAAGATTAAGAACTAAGAACCAATTAATTTTAGCTTATAATTAACAACCATAAGAACATATTATCTGTAAGGCAATATTAGGTTTTTTATTATATTAACTAAATATGTTATTTTTGTCAATTTTAAATTTTTCATTATCTTGTTTGTAAGGGTATTTCCGTAATTAACAAAATCAAGCAAAAAACAAATCTTTTCCACAGTATGTCAAGATTCTTTCGTTTAGATTCCTCAAACATTATTGGTTATTGATATTTCGTGACCTTCGATTTATATAGAATCAATTGATTCTGTTCGATTTTCATATATATAACAAGTTTTTATGCAATCGTTACCTGAAGAATCATCGTCTTCTAAGTTGGATCCGATGTCTGTTCAAAGCGTATCAAGAACAGATGAATTGAATGTTCAATCTTTAGCTCAATCTGATTACGATATTTCAACGGAAAGTGAATCAGAAGCAGGTATCTCGTCTTCTAAGTTAGATCCGATGTCTGTTCAAAGTATATCAGGAATAGATGAATTGAATGTTCAATCTTTAGCTCAATCTGATTACTATATTGCAATGGAAGGTGAATCAGAAGCATGTATCTTGTTTCCTTCTGTCTGTTACTAATTTAATCCATTTTTAATTATTATACATTAACAAATTACTTACATAGTTGAATATGATGTTCTATAAGTTATTAAGATGTGAATTAATTTCCTTCTGTGAAATTTTAGTTGTTTTTTATTTATAATATTTGTATTTTTACATATACTGTGAAATAGAGTTTAGTTATGTACTTGTTTTCACATGTAAATGTCTGAAATATAGTTTTTATTTGTTAATTTTATTTATTATTTCCAATTAAACTATGAATTCTCTTTTTTTTTTTTTTTGTTTTTTATTTATAATATTTGTCTTTATTATTACAATCTTCTAACTGTTATTAACCTGTTAATGTATTTGCTTATGTGTAATATAAACGTAATTATACTGTGAATTTTCAATTGTTTTTGTTCATATATTACAATATGTGTCTTTTAAGCTGATATATGTTTTTATTTTTCTTATTAGGTCAAGATAGATTTTGTGAATTTTTCTCTCCTGGTGGAGCTCGTAAAATATGGATTCTTGAGGATGTTGATGATGTTAAACCAAAGTTGTTTAGCAAATATCTAAGTATTGAAGATGCAATGGATATGTATAGGGTTTTTGCTGCTAAAGCTGGTTTTGATGTAAGAAAAGGTTCTACAAAGATAAACACTAAGTCACGTGTTCTTACTCATCGATTTATGCTGTGCAATAGAGAGGGATTTCCTCAAAGTGTGTATGTGGACACAACTGATTCTAAAAATAATAAACCTCACAGAAATTCAAATATTAAAAGGAAAGGATGTCCAGCTTTTGCAAAATTTAGAAGAGTAGGAAATTCGGATGTTTTTGAGCTATACAAATTTGAAGAAAGACATAATCATGATTTGGTTGCAAAAGATTATAGGCATTTCTTGAGGTCTAATAGGCAATTGGACAACACTGCTCAAGAATTCATTGAAAAGAAGGGAAGGGTAAAAATTGGTCCAATGAAAGCATACAAATTAATGCAAGAGCTAAAAGGGGCAAACACTGTTGGAGGGACTGTTGTTGACTACAAGATTCAGTCTAGAAAAGTGAATTGTTTTATTGAAAAGGACGATGCACAAATGGTAGTTGATAAGTATTTGGATAGAATGAAAGACGATCCTACTCTTACATTTGAGTTTATATGTGAGAAAGGAAAGTTAGTTTCACTTTTTTAGGCTGATGAAGCTGCAAAGGTGAACTATAGAGAATTTGGTGATGTTGTTTCTTTTGATGCTACTTTTCGGACGAACAAGTTTTTTATATTTTGTTTTATTATATTATTTTCTTTTGTTGTTTTTATACTAACTTTTTTATATATTTATTTTTTAGATATCGTATGGTATTTGTTCATTTCACAGGAATCGATAACCATAGAAAGAGTGTTACTTTTGCAATTGTTCTTTTGAGTAGTTAAACTATAGAATCTTATGTTTGGCTGCTTAAAACTTTTTTGAAGACTTTTGGTAAACAGTCGACTGTAGTTCTCACTGATGAAGATGCTGCAATGAAAATTGCAATTGACAGAATATTGCCTGATTCACGTCACAGGTTATGTATGTGACACATAACCCAAAAGTTGCCTTCTAAGGTATATAATTTTAATTTTTAGAACATTTATTTCTTGTGAATTTTTATGTTTTTTTGTTTATGATTTGAATTTTGTTAGATTATATTATGTTTACCTCACTTTTGATTATGTTATTTATTATGTGTTATTAAGTTGTGAATTTTTTCTTTAGGTATGTGCTGAACTTGCTGATGATATGAAATTTAAGAAACGTTTCAATAAGCTGATTTGGAATTCTGGGATAGATGCTTCTGAGTTTGATATTAGATGGAGAAGTTTTATTGAAGATTATAAGCTCCAAGAGATATCATGGTTTTCAAAAGTGTTTCATATGAGAGAAAGTTGGATTCCAGCATATTTTAGAGACATGCCATTATCTGGTTTAATGAGGACCACTTCTAGGTTAGAAAGCATGAATTCTGCATTCAACAAAACTTCTCACTAGGGTAATTCATTAGTTAAGTTCTTCACTTCTTTTGATTCAACTATGGATAGGCAAAGACATAATCAATGTTACTTAGACCATCTTAGCAATATTTCTAAGATTAAAAGTAAAATTTCACTAAAAATCATGGAACATGCTGCTGATATCTATACTAATGAAGTCTTCATAGAAGTGAAGAAAGAAATTGAACAATCTCTATTTTCATGTTCACAATATAGTGTTACGAATGAAGAAATTTATGATAGATTTATTGTTATGCAATATAAAGATATTATGGGGTCTACTCCAACAGTTGTTAATGAAGAAGATATTATGGCACTCCCTAATTATCCCATTGTTTTTTTTAGTATAGCTAAGAATGAGGGGGAAGGAAAAGAGAATGAAAAGTTTGGGCCTTTTCTTGATTATGCTCGAAATTATGAGGTCCAAATTGAAGGTTTTAGGCCCATTAGGCCCATATGAGGGTTTACCACCCAATAGTGACAAGGAAAAGGAGTTTACGACCCATTAGGGTTCAAGAAACCATTTACGGCTTATTAAGTCCCATGACACCAAAGTGAGACTTTTTAGGCCCAATAAGGCCCATGATAAGTCTTATGGACCAAAATGCTATTGTTTAATGAAGGTGGGTCCAATTAGGGCCCCATTAGAAGACTCTTCAGGATCTTCATCATCATTATCAACATCCCCACTTTTGTTATAATCACTTTGAACGTGTACAAATGTCAACTCATGTTCCTCTGCCACAATTGCAATCGGAGGTACCCTGCCCTCTTCATGATCTGACACTGTTATCACATCATCATCAACAGTCATGCGGTCAGAAGACTCATGAGAGGTAGAAGCTTCACTTGCTTCTGCGAACATACCAAAATTTATCAAAGGCTATTTGCCCTCAAAGGTAAATTTACCATTGGCGTTCTGTTTGATTAACCCAATAGTATTTGGACCGAGAGACTTTATGTCCAATGTTTCACCACCTTTAGGGATCTTCGAAAATTGCTCGTTAATGATAATTTGCAAAAACCTCGGATACATCAAAATTTTTCTCTAGTCTTTCCCTTGATGTTCACAACCAGCTCATCCAGAATAAACCTTGACAAGTTAAAGCCAATTCCAGCAGCAAGAGCAACGATAGCTCCTGTGTTTCTTAATGAAATCTCATCAGCAGCTGATCTTCTCCCTAAGATGCAACTCACAAAAACATGAGCTAAAAACCTCCAATAAGGTGGTAATAGCTTCTTCAAAGTAGGAGGAAATACGCCCTTGTAACCCATTCTGCCCAGGAGCTCTTGAGTTTGATCCACTTCTATTTTTGTAGGAAAGCTAGATTGGTCGTCAATCTTCAGAGTATCTATGATTATCTGCTCAGTGACAATAATCTTGCATCCTTTTACAAGAGCTTCAATGAATACAAAATTATTATCTCCTTTCTTACCTATTGCATTTTTCCAGAACTGTTTTATTAGATTTTGATAGATATCTGGACTCAGGATCAAGGCTGTAGCCAAGAAGCATTCCTTCAAGCCATGAATCATGGACTTGAATTCACTGTGGGCAACAGGAGGTTCATCCAGTAGGATCGCCAGATTATGACTTTCTGCAAATTTGAGTTCTGCCATGTTGATCTACATGAACTGAATCAAGTGAGAAGACAATAATAAAATATATTTTGTGCAATAATGTAATTTTGACTTTAATTTTTAAATCAAAATAGGTTTTCGGTGTTTACGACCTAAGCCTGAAAAGTGAGAAGACTATATTTTGTCACAAAATGGGTTTTCGATGTTTACGGCCTAAGCTTGAAAATTTTGAGTTAGACAGTATCTTCTTTTTTATGAACAGATCTGGTCGATCGCTGATATTGTGGTCCACTTAAGCATGAAAATTTTGTGAAAAGATTTGGACATACTGCAAGTGACTGGACATTTTGACTTTGCAATACTAACCAAATACCTAATGACCATTCATCTGACGATGACCTGAGATATTGTTGTCCACCTAAGTTAAGCAGCTAGATTTACAGACAACCTATTTATAGATTTATTTTGAATGTATTAGAACATGTTTCCCGTTTCCTGGTATACCCCAAAAATCAAGAACTTCCAAGGCACTCCTTACTTTAGGTGAGCAGACAATTATTATGGGAGAAGACAAATTTAGAGTGCATTTGCTGTACACCCAGATCGGATCTTATGATCACACAGAGGGTGAAACACATGTCTAACCAGAATCGTAGAGATTGAGAAGTAGAATGGTGCATATGCTGTATACCAGGTCGGATTATCGGTCACGCAGAGGAGACAACATATGGCTAACAGATAGAAAGAATAGCATAGAGAGATATGCATAGAGACAAAGTTGCATATATTGCAGGCCATGTCGGATCTTTCAATCACGCAGAGGAGACAACATATGTCTAACAGAAAGAAAGCAAGAAAATAATCTTCTGCAGACCTATTTTATCGGAATTTCCCTGGTCGTCCTGTCAAAATTGAAATTAAGGACAGAGTCCATACATCGAGGAAGAGTTAATCCACGATTCTAGATATATATTATTTAGTTTAATCTGTAGATTCCCATGTATATCTCCCTGCTTAACTATCCAAGCATCATATTGTCAGGCTAAGTGGATCTGTCTAGGTCAAGATCTGTCAAGTCATTTGATCTTAATTTCATCTATGCCTAGTCAAGTCCAAATTAGAACGATTGTGCCTACCAACGCATTGAACACCGAGCCTAGACAACTCAACCTTGATACCTTTCATAGATTCAGACTACCTGTAATCACAAAGATTATATCACTTCCCAACACAACATCAAAAAGCAAGGAAGACACACAATATATATTTTTTTGTTTTTCAAGTTTTTCTGAAAAAATAAAATAGAAGAAAATATTTTTGGATTTTTGATAAAAATTTTTGTTTTTTTTTGATTATTTTTGCCCCTAAATTTGTGCATGGGAGAGAATGAAAAATAAATGAGCAAATTTAGAATGACCTAAAAACAAGAATTAGTCCTTAGAATGTATCATCTTCAAAAATCCAACAAGCACATCGAATCGAGCCTTGTTAAAAGGTTTTGTGAACAAATCTGCCACATTATTAGCAGTGGGAACTTGTTCCAATCGGATGAGCGAGCACTCATAACAATCTATGATAAAATGCACTTTGATGTCAATGCGCTTAGTTTTTGAGTGTTGGACGAGATTTTTAGCAATTTGAATAGCAGCCTCATTGTCAAAAAAGATAGGGGTTTCTAAAAAATTCAAACCGTAATCTAGGAGCTTATGTTGTATCCAGATAACTTGAGAATAGCAAGCTGAAGCATCTACGTATTCTACCTCTGCTGTTGAGGTTGAGACGGTATGCTGTTTCTTGCACTGCCATGTTACCAGTCTATCACTGAGAAATTGACATTCTCTAGAAGTTGATTTCCTGTCAAGATCACAACGTCTATAATTACTGTCAGCAAAAGCATATAAATCAATTTCAGAATTTTTTGGATACCAAAGACCCAATTTTGGGCTGCTTTTGAGTTACCAAAAGATTCTTTTGACAACAATAAGATGAGAAATTTTTGGATTAGCCTGATATTGTGCGCAATGACAAACCGAAAACATGATGTCTGGCCTGCTTGCGGTTAAAGACATCAGCGATCCGATCATTGATCTATAGTCGGTCTGATCTACGGATTCGCCTTCAATATCTGGTGTCAGCAGTGGTCTCTCAGCCATTGGCGTTAGTGCAGGTTTTGTGTCTCGAAACCCGAACTTCTCTAGCATATCTTCAACATACTTTGCCTGATGTAGCAGGGTCCCGGTTGATTCTTGTTTGACCTGAAGCCCTAAAAACATGGTCATATCCCCCAAGGAATTCATTTCAAACCTCTTCTTCGTAACGTTTTCGAACTCTTTGCACAGTTTTGAACTCGTCGACACGAAGATGATATCATCGACATAGATTAGAACAAGAATTTGATCAGAACCAACATGCTTAATGAATAAGGTTTGATCAATTGTACCCCGCGAAAAGACATGTTCAAGCAAATGCTTTGTAAGAGTAGTATACCACGCCCTTGGAGCTTGGTGTAGCCCATATAAAGCTTTGTCCAACTTGTTGACGTGAGTCAGAAATTTTGAATTGACAAACCCAGGAGGTTGATCAACATAGATCTCTTCCTTCACAACTACATACCAGAAGTCAGTCTTAACATCCATATGGTAAATCATGAAGTTCTTGTAGGAAGCATATGCAAGGAAGATGCGAATAGCTTCTAAGCGAGCTACCAGAGCAAAAACTTCGGTGTAGTTAAGACCCTCAATTTGACGAAATCCACGAATAACTAATCAGACCTTATTCCACACAATGACCACTGAATCATCTTGCTTGTTACGATATACCCAGTGCGTGTTGATGGACTTCTTGCCCTTAGGTAATTCAACCAACTTCCAAACCCCTAGCTTTTCAAATTGATTTAATTCTTCGTGCATAGCGTCCACCCATCTGGGATCATTCAAATCCATTTGAATGTTCTTCGGATCTATTTGAGATATGAAACAGGAGCAGAGACAAGTATTCACATCTTCTCTCCGACTTTGCGTTCTAATACCATAGCCCAGCTGGCCAATGACATTTTCAAGTGGATGATCTCGTTGAATTTTTGAAGATAGCTCCTGGATGATGTCATTGATCAAGACAGGAAGATTGTGCATATTAACAAATCCATAATTTGCTGATTGATCCACCTTTGAAGCTCTAGAATCATGAAAGGAACTCGCCACGAAATCGTTAGCAATTGGATCGGGAAAGAGAAGTTTCATAAACGTTTGAGTATCAGCGGAAGCATCTCTGGACATAACCATTCTTTCATCAGGAATAAGGGGAGTATAATCAGCATCTGGATTATTTTCTTTACCCAGTGAGTCAGACAAATTATTAGGAACAGGTGAATCCACTGAAGGAGTCTTAGAAGACACCAACGGTGGTCTATAAATAACT